ATGGAATTGGAAAAAGAAGAACAATCTAAGCCTAAACTCAGCAGAAGAAAAGAAATATCCAAAATTAAATCAGAGATCAATGAAATTGAAAAAAAATTATTCAGAAAATGAATGAAACAAGGAGTTGGATTTTTGAAAAAATAAATAAAATAGATAAACCTTTGGCTAGACTAACTAAAAATAAAAAAGTAAAATCTCTAGTAACCTCAATCAGAAATGATAAAGGAGAAATAACAACTGATGCCACAGAGATACAAGAGATCATCTCTGAATACTACCAGAAACTCTATGCTCTGAAATTTGACAATGAAGGAAATGGATCAATATTTGTAATCATGCCCTCTCTGTAGACTTAGCCAGGAAGAAATAGAGCTCCTGAATAGGCCAATTTCAAGCACTGAGATTAAAGAAACAATAAAAAAATCTTCCAACAAAAAAATGCCCTTGTTCCGATGGCTTCACACAAGAATTCTATCAAACCTTCAAGGAAGAACTTATTCTTGTACTCCAGAAATTATTCCAAAAAAATTGAAGAGGAAGGAATCTTCCCCAACACATTCTATGAAGCAAATATCACCCTTTTACTAAAACCAGGAAAAGACCCAACTAAAAAGGAGAATTTCCAACCAATTCACTAATGAATATAGATGCAAAAATTTTCAACAAAATCCTAGTCAATAGATTACAGCTTATCATCAAAAAGAACATACATCATGATCAAGTAGGTTTCATCCCAGGGATGCAAGGCTGGTTTAATATACACAAGTCTATAAACATTATTAACTGTATCAACAGAAGTAAAACCAAAGACTGACTATATGATCCTGTCAATAGATGCAGAAAAAGCATTTGATAAAATCCAGCATTCTTTTCTAATTAGAACACTGAAGAGTACAGGCATACATGGCACATTTCTGAAACTAATTGAAGCTATCTGTGACAGACCTACAGCTAATATTTTACTGAATGGAGTAAAACTGAAAGCTTTTCCTCTTAAATCTGAAACCAGACATGGTTGTCCTCTGTCACCGTTACTATTCAACATAGTGCTGGAAGTTCTAGCCCATACAATTAGGAAATAAAGGGCATCAAAATGGGAGCAAAGGAGGTCAAACTCTCCCTTTCTTCCTTTTTGCTGATAATATGATCTTATACTTAAAGAACCTCAAAGATTCAACCACAAGACTCCTGGAAGTCATTTAAAAATACAGTAATGTCTCAGGATATAAAATCAGTGTCCACAAGTCAGTTGCCTTTGTATATGCCAATAACAGCCAAGATGAGAGGCTAACTAAGGACACAACTCCCTTCACCATAGCTTCAAAGAAAATGAAATATCTAGGAATATATCTAACCAAGGAGGTGAAGGACCCCTATAAAGAAAATTATGAAATCCTAAGAAAGGAAATAGGAGAGGATATTAACAAATGGAAGAACATACCATGCTCATGGCTGGGAAGAATCAACATTGTTAAAATGCCTATACTTCCCAAAGCAATCGACCTATTCAATGCCATCCCTATTAAAATACCAACATCGTACTTTCAAGATTTAGAAAAAATGATTCTGCATTTTGTATGGAACCAAAAAACAAACAAACAAAAAAAAACCCTGTATAGCTAAGGCAATTCTTAGTAATAAAAACAAAGCTGGAGGCATCACCATAGCAGATTTTAGGCTGTACTACAAAGCCATAGTGGTCAAGACAGCATGGTACTGGCACAAAAATCAAGACATAGACGTTTGGAATCGAATAGAAAGCCAGGTAATGAAACTAACATCTTACAACCACCTAATCTTCGATAAAGCAAACAAGAATATACATTAGGGGAAAGACTTCCTATTCCATAAATAATGCTGGGAGACCTGGATATCCACATGTAAAAGACTAAAACTGGACCCACACTTTTCCCCACTCACAAAAATTGATTCAAGATGGATAAAGGACTTAAATTTAAGGCATGAAACAATAAAAATTCTCAAAGAAAGTATAGGAAAAACACTGGAAGATATTGGCCTGGGCAAAGACTTCATGAAGAAGACTGCCATGGCAATTGCAGCAACAACAAAAATAAACAAATGAGACTTAATTAAACTGAAAAGCTTCTGTACAGCTAAGGAGACAACAACCAAAGCAAATAAACAACTAACAAAATGGGAATGGATATTTGCATAATTTAAATCAGACAAAAGCTTGATAACCAGGATCTATAGAGAACTCTAAAACACATGAATAAAGCCAACAATCCCATATATCAATGGGCAAGAGACATGAATAGAACCTTCTCTAAAGAAGACAGATGAATGGCTAACAAACATGAAAAAATGCTCATCATCCCTAATTATTAGAGAAATGCAAATCAAAACCACCCTAAGATACCATCTAACCCCAGCGAGAATGGCCCATATCACAAAATTTCAAAACTGCAGATGATGGCATGGATGTGGAGAGAAGGGAACACTTTTACACTGCCAGTTGGACTGCAAACTAATACAACCTTTTTAGAAGGAAGTATGGAGAACCCTCAAGGAACTCAAGCTAGACCTCCCATTTGATCCTGCAATCCTATTACTGGGCATCTACCTAGAAGAAAAAAATCCTTTTATAATAAGGACACTTGCACTTCTGTTTATTGCAGCTCAATTTACAATTGCCAAAATGTGGAGACAGCCTAAATGTCCACCAACCCAGGAATGGACTGACAAGCTGTGGTATATGTATACCATGGAATACTATTCAGCCATTAAAAAATGGAGACTTTACAGCCTTTGTATTAACATGGATGGAAGTGGAACACATTATTCTTGGTAAAGCATCACAAGAATGGAGAAGCATGAATCCTATGTACTCAATTTTGATATGAGGACAATTAATGACATGGTGGGGGTAAGGGAAGAGGAGAGCACAGAGAGGAAGAAGGAGGGAGAAGTGAGGAAGAGAATAGCAGAGAGAGGGATGGAGGGAGGGGGATGAGATCTTGGTGTGTGCCACACCATCTGGGGGCAAGACATGATTGTAAGAGGGACTTTACCTAACAAAATCAATCAGTGAAACCTGGTTTCTTGTACCTCAATGAATTCCCAACAATTAAAAAAAAAAAGGAAAGAAAATTCTACTGGAGAAGGATATATATATATATATATATAGAGAGAGAGAGAGAGAGAGAAAGAGAGAGAGAGAGTTTGAGATAGAATCTCACTTTTTTTTCCCTTGGTAGAGTACGTGGCTTCACAGCTCACAGCAACTTCAAACCCTTGGGCTCAAGTGATTCTCTTGTCTCAGCCTGCCACTTAGCTGAGACTACAGGTGCCTGCCACTACACCTGGCTATTTTTAGAGACAAGGTCTCACTTTGGCTCAGGCTGGTCTTGAACTCATGAGCTCAGATGGTTCACCTGCCTTGGCCTCCCAGAGTGCTAGGATTACAAGCATGAGCCACCACGCCAGGCCTGGAGATGGATATTTATAAGTCAAGGGTATAGTGTGTAGATTGTAACTGCTGAGTGTAAAAGAGGAAGCTTGGACCAAAATGAAATAGGGTATAGGACTGAGCTTTGATGGATGGCATTACTGCCTAAAGAAAGGAAGAGAAGCTTAAAATGGTGGATGGCTAGAAATGCCAGAAAAACATCAAGAGACAGATTTCACAGGTGTCAACTAGTTCAATGCCACTGATCTCACAAGTGGCAGAACAAGAATTTTTATCCAAAGTCCATATGCTTCCCACTCCTTAGGGATAGTGGCACCTCTCCCCAGCAATAGGATCTCAGTCCTACCTTTTTGAACACTAGGACACTGTCAAGGACGACATGAAAATGCCCAGCAGCATTCTTAATCTCTATTGCTCCAAACGTCAGCTCTGGGAAGTCTTTGATCGTGTCGTAGAATAATTCTGCTACCTCTTCCTCTAAGTCCTGTTAAGGAAAGAATGTTTTGTGAGGCTTTGGTAGAAACAAATGTCTAACTTATTTAAAGGAAAGATGGAAGCAGTAGCTGATTCATCATTTTTCTAAGTTCTGGGGTTTTGCTGGGTCACCTCGATTCACTTTCATGGGTACTGCACACCCAGACTGCTTTTCTGGCTGTGACTAAAGCCAACATGGGCAAGTCTTCAAAGATCAATAGAGAGGATTGATAAACTTGACCTTTTTCAATTATTACATTAAAGGCTGTTCTAACCCAGGGGTTGAGACAATTTTTTAAAAACATATCTTTCTTAATTGCTTTCAGAAAAGGCAATAGATTTGACCACATATAATACCAAAGATAAACTTAGTATCAGGATATGGCTATGGTTTCAGCCCTCATTTTTTAGCTCGAAAGAAAATTAAGACCAAAAAATCCTCTCAAAGAAGTGGCAGGTGGGGGGAGGAGAGGCTCAAATTCTCCTCACATACAAATATAGCACTAAAATTCTGACTTCTACTGGGAGAAGGGGAGGAGTCATCTGTTTATGGTAAATGAGTCAAGATACACAAGAAACTCATTTTCCAAAAGCAAAAACAATTTGCAAATGATTTATAAATACAAAAAAATCAATAAAAAGCTATTGTGAGACACTGCATTATTATACTGAAGTTATTTATGTCATTCCCCAAATATCTTTCCCTGTTGCACCTACGATGAGTGTTGGTATATTTCTAAATGGGGGCATATTTACAATATATTGTTGGTTTTAATACCTGGAGAAGCTTGGAGGGAGGTTAGGGAGAGAGACAAGCCTGGTCAACCATGGCTGGTGGCTGTCAGAGTCATAGGGAACAAAAGTCCTCAAATCAGAAAATAAGATATCTTACTATTCAGTGATATTCTAAATGGATCCCAAAAGATCAGTTGCACTATTAAAACTCATTAAATACACGTGTCAATCTCCTCTCCTTTCTCTCCATTCGGCTTCCATGTTTTTCTTTTTTCACTGGGACCCTAGAGCTTTCCCAGAAGAACAGCTCATTGGGTAAGGGAAATTGAGCATGGGGCAACCCAAATGGAAGAGTCCCCTCCCCTTCCCCCTCCCAGATACAGTACTTCTCACCTCCCAGGCCTAGATCCCAGTACCTGAAAGAAGCCAATAATGACCAAGTGCCTGGATTCCACAAAATTGGCCACCTGCAGGCTGTTGTTAAACAGAAATGCATTCTGGCTGATTTGTCTTCTCAACCAAACGACCAAGGCAGTAGATTCAACCACTCCTGGAGAGAGATACAGTCAAGTGGATCCCACAGAAATTTCTTCTTGAGCTAGACCAAAGCCTGTCTTCCCCAAGGTTAACAAGTAGAAGCACATCATCTTGGGCTCCCTTCCCCTATAGGTCAATCTGTCTATTCCTCCCAAACTCCACAGCATGAACACGAACAGCAGCAGTTAAACGTTACTGAGCCGTACCAAGGCCCGTACACTGTGCTGAGTGTTTGCATGTACCAAGTCTTCACAGCCACCCTCTAGGATGGGTACTGTCCTCATTTTGCAGGCAAGGAAAACAAGTTCAACCTGCTAATAGTCACCAAACTAGCACATCTGGGGAGTGCATTTCTAGCCTTCTTTTCTCATGGATCCTCCATGACAATGGGAAGATGGATATTTTTTAATTTAAATAAAATATAGAATAAACATCACTTAGGTCTGCAACTTGGGGAAATCCTATTATTCCTCTGTGCCTCCCATTTCTCAGCTGAGACCCAAATGTCCTCCAAGTTCACAGACCCCTAACTTCCCTTTCTCGGCTATTATATGTGAGTTGCCAAGCACACAAAAGTCTTAGCATCTAAAATTGGAACACATATATCTTATCTGGGAAGACAATATCGAATGAGAATGCAAATGAAGCCTCACAAAGATGGACAGGTGTTTCTCTGAATCGTTAATTTCACAGCATGGCAAGTAATGTAAAATATTATTTTATATTAATGTTTGCTATAAAAAAGAATGAAGCATTTTGCATGAGTTTAAGATATAAAGCAGTGTTTGCTGTAAGTAGCTTTGAACTACATCCATAGACCTTTATTGCTTTACTCATTCATTTATTTGACAAATGCATATTGAGTGCCTGTTTTAAAGTTCCCTGTATTTGGTGCTGGGAATATAATGGTAAGCAGAAACAAACATATTACCATTGTTTTGTAGCTCTCATTCTGTTAAGGAAGACAGTAATCAAATAATTACATAAACACGTATATAATCGCACCCAAAGGAAGTGTTTGAAATCAAAGTGCTATGAGCCTGTAGCAAAAATAACTGGACCTAGACTGTGAAGTCAAGGAAGGCTTCCTGGAGGAAATCACTTATGAGCTGAAAACCTGAAGGATGCATTCAAGTTAACTAGCATGCAGGAAGGAGAGAGAAAGGCCCAGTCAGAACAAATAGCCTGTGCAAAGGCCCTGTGGCAGGACACGTTACTTTAGGGGGCTTGATGAATGCACCCTGAGTTACTAAATCAGTTGCAAAAGGCTCTACTTCCAGGCTCTACTTCTGCTCACATTTCCTAAGAACATTAGGTCTTTTAAAAAAACTTATAACATTTATCTGCAGAAAGGTACACAAATTATAAGGTATAATTTGTTGAATGTTTATAAAATGAACACACATGCATTAGTGCCACTCAAATCAAGAAATAAAACATTACCAGTCTCTCAGAAATTCCCAGCCCCTATCCAGCCCCCACCCAGGTTTAACCACTATCTTAACTTCTACCTGGGTACATTAGTCTTCCTATTCCTGAATTCCATCACACGATATATGTCTTTGGATCTGGCTTACTTATATTTGTGAGATTCATGCATGTTGTTCATGTACTTGAAGACTCATCCCCACTGCTGTGGAGTGTATTCCACTGGGTGAATATACCACAATTTATTCATTTATTCTCTGTGGATGAGTATTGGGTTGTTCCTAGTTTGGGGATAATAGGAATGAATTCTCACTTAGATTTCTGGGGGCACAATGTATGTACTTGTGTTGGGTATGTGGCCAGGACTAGAATTTCTGGTCATAGCAGATGCCATGCTCAGCTTTAGCAGACACAGTTGAGGCCATTTTAAAAGCCACAATAAGTCAGACCTATGGAAGTTCATATTAGGCTGATACGACGGCTACAAGAGACAGAGGGGGAAGGCATCACGCACCGTCAGACCTCAGCACTCCACCCTGCTATCACCCTTTCCTCTGACATTTTACCAAAGCCAAGTTTCTATTTCCACAGTGTGCTCAGCCACCTTTAGGGAAAAAAAATCAGGCTTTTATGGAAATTAACTGTTCCTATTATAAATATTTGTCTGGCAAAAGTATTTTATAAGTTCCCTGAAAGGAATTGGTTTAAAAATTCCGACAATATAAAAAAAGGTGAACAAAACCTTCCAAATGGGTTTAAATTTCAGGTTGTCAGAACTGCTGCTCTGATGCCACTTTGTGCCAGTCCATACTCCAGCCATGTGATTATCTTCCAGGACACCAGGCTTTGTACCCTCCTGGCCCTCCCTGTGCTCTCCAAGGGTAGCACCTTTTGCTTATTCGATGCTCAGGTTGGTTTTCCCTTACCCTCTCCTTCCCCTTTGTTCTCAACCATGTGACCTGTTTCATTTTCTGCCTTGAGTCTATCACTTTATGAAATGATGATGATGATTGTTCCATGTGAGCTCCCAGTAGCTCCTGGGACTCCTGGTACACGCTAGGTGCTAACAAAATAATTCTAGGATAAAGTCACTGTGTCATTAGGTAACTTGTCTTGAGGGAACTTGATCTGGAGGCATCTTCTCTGGAATGGGTGGGCTCCGTTTGCCCATCTGGACCCCCCAGGACTGAGGTAGCTGTGCACTCAGCAAATTGCTCATTCCTGAGTGTCTGCAGACCAGGCAGTGTGCTCGCTGGGCTCGATGCCTCCTCTGGTTCTTGGCTCAGAGCCAGAGGACACAGTAACAACTGAGGTGTGAACGTTATGTCAATGATTGACTAGAGCTGGAGCTAGACTGCATATTTCCAGGCACAAGCTGTGAATGCATCATTAATAGAGGCCCTGGAGGGAACTCAAGTCTCCCTCCCTCCAGAGGGTGGCCAAGACCACATTTTTCACCATCAATCCTTGGAGATTAGAGGAGAACAGGACAGGGCTTTGACCCAGCAAGGACTAAATTCCACCTACTTCCTAAGAGAAGTTTTCATAAAAGTCACATTGAAAGAGATGCATAAAGCACTGTCTTCTCTCTCAGCTCAGAGGAGCCCTGTCAAATAGGCAGAACTGGCATTATTCCTCCTGTTTAGAAAACGAGAATCTGGAAGCTCAGGTCTAAAAGGCTTAAGTTCCCATAGTTTGTGCTTGTCCTAAACCCCAGGTATCCTGAGTTCCAGCCCCAGCTCCCTGCTGGAATTCCATTGCTCTTTCCCTGGTCAGGAGTAATACTGAGGAAGAAGGGGCAACAGCATGCCCAGCGGAAATATGAGTTTGTACATTAACCCATGACCTCTACACTTTCATCCCATTTAAACCAAAATACTATTTACTAGAGTATCATAAATATTATAGTCAGGAAACTAGTAGGTAGGTAGTGATCACAAACACATCTGCCATACAGTTTATTCTTCAGGAATACAGTTTATTCTTTAGGTATGTGTCAGACTCTGTGCCTTGGAACAGAGGAATGCTATCCCAGCACGTGAGCCACCCCATGAGAAGTTACCAGGGGCTTGTCATTTCCTCACAGCCTTCCCCAGAGCCAACACATCACGAAAAGTTTCTGGCTTGGCTTCGGTGGGTCCCCACTGTTGAGGCTCAGCATTCAGTATCCACGAGAAAGCAGCAGCCTCAGTGATTTTTCTCACTCTTCCTGCTCTCTCTCTCTCCATCTCTCCTCTTGCCCCTCACCCTCTAGCCCCATTTCTGTTTTTTGAATGTTTAATTCATTTTTATTAGCTCATAACTAAGTACATTACTGCATTTATAGGGTGCAATGTACTGATTTTATATATAATTTGGAAGGTTTACATTAAACTGGTTAATATAGCCTTCACTGCACTTATTTAATTATTGTGTTTAGACATTTATACTCTATTCTTAATTTATTTGACATGTACCCTTGCAATATGCACTATAGGTGAAGTCCCACCGATTACCCTCCCTCCACCTGGCCATTCATCTCCCCTCCCTGGCCCTCCTCTTCTCTCCAGGTCTCTTAGGTAACTGTCATGGGGTCACTCTTTTGCAGGCCTTTCTCTAGCTCTGTTCTGTGTCTCGCATGCCCTCTTGTGTCCATTATGAGAACTGCAAGGCATCCTGCAGAACAGGTTCTTGCAACACCAAGGGGCTTTTTAGAAACTGGCTATGTTTGACTTTCACAGTGTCTGCACATAGCCAGTCTGCACATAGTACATATATGTACTACACACACATATGTACTACACAAAGCATATTTATACGTATTTAAATATTATATGCACATAGTACATATATGTGTATATATGTACATGGTTGCAAGATGGATGGATAGATTAAAGTGATAAACTGGAAGAACACAGAAGTGCCCAGCCCCTAGTGTGCTAGTGAGCCTACTTCATGAGCCTACTTCATGGAGTGGAAGGTGGGGACCTCCTCTGCTGCTAAGAAACTTGGATCATCACCTCTCTCAGGAAGTCCCCCCTGACCCCAAGTCTTGGTGCCTGCTCCACATCTGTGGTCCCATATATATATACACACACACACACACATATATATATATATATATATACATATATATAACAAAGTATATTTATACATATAGTTAAATATTGTTTATATTTATATAAACATACGTCTATTATGGGAACCTTTTACTAGCATACTAGGGGCTGGGCACTTCTGTGTTCTTTCAATTTATTGCTTTTATCCATCCATCCATCTTGCAACCATGGATGCATTCATTCACATAACATTTTCAAAATTAGGACCTACCATTGAACCACACCAAAGCCTACAATTCTCCAAATATCCTCAATATCAAGTTAAGGCTTGACACTTGATAAGTTGTTAACAAATGAGTACTGAATAGATAAATGAATGAAATGAATGGTAGAAATCAAAGTTTTTGATAGACATCGCATCCCAGGCTTTTTTTGTTCCCTCATCTCCCAGACTTCCTTTTGGCTATATAGAGCTTCCCTGGCCTGTGGCCTTATCAAAATCATTCTAAAGTGGAAGATGGGGGTGACAAGTAGAATTAGGAACTTAGACTTCAGTCTTTAGTAGCGTGTAAGTCATCACACCCCGTCCTTCCACCTCTTGGTGCCTTTAGAGCCCGTCAACTGAGATGCAAGCTGTGGTCGAGACAGCTGCATATTCACCAAAACGCATTTTCCTTATAAGACATACCTGAATCATACTTCTCAGCCTTTCTCACAGCTGAGTGTGGCCATGTAGCAGAATACTTGTCAATGAGATGTTACTAGAAGTGATGTCTCCCACTTTTAGGCAAGAACTATGAACAGAACCCATGAATCTTTGGCCTCCATATCCCAATTGCTGGCTGGATGCAGAGGGAACAGCAGGGGCCTCTAATGCCCTAGAGAAGGGCAGAGATACTAGCTGGGAGGAGCCTGGATCCTGTAAGGCTATGTGGAGCAGAGCTTCCCACATCTACCCTCTGGCTGCCAAGAGGGCTTTACATGAATAGGTAATAAATTTGGTACACAAGCACCCTTACCTTCACAACTGATGGGCTCCGACCTATTGCCCTCAAAAAACAGCTTCAACTCTGGAGTTTTCTTAATATTAAACTCCTGCTTAAGCTCCTTCTCTACAGTGATGTCCACTTTGCCAAAGCCAACGCCATTCTTGCCTTTACCCATGATCTCCACGGCTTTGCCCAGTTCCTCAGCCAGGTTCTTGGATTGTTTTGAGGAGGGGTTATCTGAAAGAGCCAGTATGAAGACAGAACTCGTCAGAGCCTCTTTCCCTGCCCAGTCTCCCCAGTTGGATTCTTTGCTTGGCCTTCTTAGCTCCTGGGCCTTTGCTGTTCTCAGCTGTTAATGGTTAGATCTTCATAAGTGTGCAAAGATGTGAGAAATAATGGTTCATAAAACTGGACAATTTGGTAGATGTACATCAAGGTTCTTTGGATCAAATAACATTGGAAGACAACTTTGGGCAATTTATCTCCTTAAGCTCCACTTTTTTCTTGTGTAAAATGGCAAAAACATGAGCAGCTACTTCATGGTGTTGTCAGAGTCAAATGAGACTTACTTAACAATCAGTTATACAGTGTTTATTATTTTCTAAGAATGAGACATGTATTAGGTCATTTACTCCTAATAACCCTGTGGGGAACAGATATTATTAGGTTATCTTAATATTATAGATGAGGAAACTGAGGTACAACAAAATGACCTGCTTGCCCCAGGTCGTCTGATGTGAGAGGTGTAGTCAGGATAAGGGCCCACTGGGTCTGGCTGCTGAGTTCCTGTTCTCTAATCTTCACCCAACATGTGGGATAGTGAAGTGCCTGAACATGGTACGCATTTGAGTCATTATTACTACTGTTATTATTATCCTTGTAAAATTTCTGCAGTGAGAAATCATGGAGGGGCAGAGAGAGAGAGACAGAGAGACAGAGCAATAAATACCTCACAGTTACCACCATGTGGTGGAATGTCCTGGCACTAAAAGGCCAGACTGGGCCCCTGTGGTTGCCCTGAACTGAGTGTAATATGGCAGAGACTCTGGCAGGTAAGATTGGCCAGGTGTGGGAAGGGTGGGGATAGAGGAGATTATGATGTTTTTCTTGTCCCCTCTGAGCCCACTGCCCCCCTCCCCCTGCAGGAGGATGTTGAAAAGACCTGACACTCTTCCAAGAAAGATAACTCTAAAAAAAAAGAAGAAGAAGAAAGAAAGATGACTCTCTGGATTCCTTGGCCACTCACATTGCTGGGTGATGGGATTGTGGGGAGGGGCCTTGTAGGGGAGGGGACCCCTTTCGGGAAACAGTCTTGGGAAGCTGGCATATAACCTGGGCCGTGCCAAGAGGCCTTTCTGGCTAAAGGGAGGGGACTCAAAGGCACCCATGTTTGCCTTTCTTCCTCCTGATAAGATTGTGAGACTGCAGGTCCCTCACTGCTCTTGGGGTCTGAGGCAGGTGGACTGAGTCAGGCCAGGGGGTCATTGATTCCCTTTCAAGTCAGAACACTTTGTCTTTTCCGCCCTCCTCCCTCAATCTGGAGCACCTTGTACTGGAACAAGTACAAACCACCTCCACTGTTGAAGGCAAGTTCAAAGTCCAACAGAGAGGCCTTTTGTAAAGCATATCCCAGAAATCTGGGCCCTGGGACAACTGGCACAGGCACCATTGCCAATCAGTACACCTGCTCCTGTAGTGGGACCCGAAAGTGAATGATCGCTTTCACTAAACTTGCAATCAATAAGCAGGAAGCAAGGACTCTGTGCCTCCCTCTCTGATCAATGCACCTCCACTGCCTGCTCTATCCCCCTCATTGCCTTTGATACCTCCCATCCATCATTACCAGCAGTACTGGCCTCCTGCCGGCTGCTCTGATCCTAAAGCCTCTTCCCAACTTCCTTGTGGATTTGGCCACGCTGGGCTCAGGACTGCTAACTGATATAGCATCCAACTCTAAGTTTTTAAGGATAGACATGAGAAACACTTGCAATTATTATCTAAATGGTAGAGAAAATTTTAGAGGTTGCACACACAACCCAGTGCCCTTGAGTGTCTAAAATGGAAGTGACAGAAAGAGATTGTGGCAACTGGAGTGCTGACATCTGAAAGCTAGATAGACAAGCCCTAACAACAATAGAAATGGGGATTCAGTCATCCACTTTCTTCATTCATTCATTTAATGTGCATTCATTGATTCACTCAACAAATCTTTCTCAGGATATGCACGTATAACAATGGACAAATAAAAACCCCTACTCTTGTTGGAGAGGGCAGAAAATAAAAAAAAGCAGTAAAATACATGCAATGTTAGATGACAAGGACTATGGATAAAAGAGATGGAGAGTTGGAGGTTGGGGGTGTCAGGGAAACTGCTAGTTTAAGTCCTTAAGAAGCAGTATTTTAATAAAGATGGGAGGAGATGAGGGAGCCAGCCTGAGGTGGGATATGTGTGACATGCTTGAGGAATGATAAGAAGTCTACTGAGTCTGAAGCAAAGTGAGCAAGGGTGGGGAGCGGATGACAGAGGGTCTTGTAGGGCATTGGATGGATTTTGATCTTTCCTCTGAAAAACTCTGGAACGTTTCCAGAGCATTGCAGAATGCTTCCAGAGCATTTGGTGCAAAGCTAGATACAATCTGATTTGCTTTTTAACTGGATTTCACTGAGTGTTATATGGAAAATAGATATTGGAGTAAAGAGGAAGAAGAGGGGATGCAGGTAGACAGTTGGAGCCTACTACATAATCCATGTGAGACACAGTGACTGCTTGGGCCAGGCTAGCGGTAATGGAAGGCATGGGAAGTGGTCTGATTCTAGAAAGATTTTGGAAGAGGAGTTGATAGATTATATGTGAAGTGTGTGAGAAGGGACACTAAGAAAGGTGGTTTCAGAAAGCCTGGCCTACTGAACAAGGAAGTCTGTGGAGGGCCCATAGGACATTCACCACTCATCAGTTCCCCCAAATGTACGATGCAATGTAGGTAACCAATGACCGATAGAAGAGGACAATAATCCGTGACCAATAGAAAAGAGAAATAACTTCTGGAGGCACAGAGAGGCCAATGAAAAAGTTGCAACCAATTACAAATAAAGAGAACGAGAGTATTTGTATCTCTGACTGCTTCTGCGTCTCCACCTCACTCCTTCTCTTTCATGAGAAGGACCCACTTCTAACTCTCTTTGGAAGTGCTCGAAACTTTTTCTTTGTTCTTAAATAAAATCTCTCTTTGTATGTTCACTTTCCATTGATTTTTCCTTTCAATTACCACTATGTCTCAGTTGAACTTTCTAGCTTAGCTGAGTAGTCAAACCAGGTCACCTAGGTTTGGGGAACCAGGACCCCTGACCCCCAACAGTGTGAGTAAAATGGGGTGGGGATGACTTTGAGTTTTTGGTCTGAGACACTGGAAAGATGATGATGATGGTGATGGTGATGGTGATAATAATAGCAATGAGAACAAAATAATAGTAAAAACATTTATTGGTCACTTACTACGCTAAACACTGCTAAGTGTTTCATGTATTATCTTGGCTAATTTTCAGATAACAACCCTGAGTTATCTACTGTTATAATACAAGCAGGGATGTTATAGATAAAGAGAGGGAGCCCAGTGGTCTCAAATTTAATAAGAGGTTAGGTTGAGATTCAACTCCAAGGCTGACTGACTCCAAGACTCATGCTGTAACCAACCAAACTGACCAACTGGTTTGAAAATGTTTCTTTTCCTTGCAGCAGAGTGATGGGGGTGTGTTTCCCATCTTCCCTACTCCACATAATCCTATCAGAGCAGAACCTGTCAACTCACTCTTGAAAATTCATAGTCCTATTTTCTTGTTTCTGTGTTCTAAAAATTTGCAAATTGGTTTTTACTTTGGGGGCTCCAGAATTTTGAATTCCAAGTTTGTAAAGGTGAAATGAATGAATACATATACACTTCAGGTCTCAGGGCCGGCGTTCTGTTGGGGTCAACTAGAAATGCCAGTTTGGTTGGGGAAAGGAAATGATTCAGAGGCATTTTGGTACTTGGGAAGAGCACCTGTGGGCTACAGATGGGCAGTGGGCCCTTTGCTGAGAGGCCAAGAGCCTCCAGAGGCCCCACCTCCCTCAGGTTCTAGGCTTTCCCTAGCTCATTCATTGTCTGCCACGTCGTGGATGCACAATGAATGTGAATTCCTTAGGTTATCTCATAAAACAGAGGCACTTACGGTGGCTTACCATGATTATGGCCCAGGACAGGTTTTTTAAAAAAAATTTTTAAATGTTTCTCTGCCTTACTTTCCTCATTCATAAAATGGGGTTATTATTCAATCCTGCACTTTGGAGTTATCCTACATAATAAGACAAAGTGTGGTACAAACTTTGGTACAAAGCCTGGCATAGAAATGCCCAATAAACATTAGCCTGTGTGAGGATGAGGTGGAGAATCAGTGGTCTTGCCTCTCTGGGAAGATGAGACGTCAAGATCCTTAGTAGATCTTCTGGCTACTCGTGGAAGGAGTGCAACAGTGGCCAGCACCAAACCATCTATGCCAAGGCCTAGATGTGGGTTTCAGGGTAAGCAAAAGGGGTACAAGGTCGTGTTAGAATAGGCAATGGCTCCCTGAATGTCAGCCTGATGTGTAGATGTGTTAATGGGTAATGAACCTAGAATCAATGTTTGCCTGGGTCTTTAGTAGATAACCCCAGGTTCCATTTTCTGGGACTGTGAGTCAGGCAGGGGAGGAGGTAATGGATGGGCAGGCAGTGAGTACAGGGACTAGAGATTAGACACCAGTACAGGGAATTCAAATCTGCCTTCCTTTAGACCAGTGGTTCTCAATGGGGGACATTTGGCCATGTCTGGAGGCATTTTTAGTCATCACATCAGGGAATGGGAAGCTATTGACATCTAGTAGGTAGAGGCCAGGGGTGCTACTAAACATTCGGTAATACACAGGACAGCTCACAGCTCCCCAAACAAAGAAATTATCCAGTAAAATTGTCCATAGTGCTGAGGATGAGAAACTCTACTTTAGATCCAACTTCAGATAAGCATGAAAAACTATTCTGAGAATAATCTCCTCCCCGTTCCATAGGGCCTTTTACAGTATGCAGAAGTGCTCACAGCTGACAGAGACTTCAGAATAGCCATTCATCCCTGCTAGCTCCTCAGGAGCCAGCAACCAGTCTGTTACTCCAATCCTCAGCAACCCAGTTTTCACCACACTGGCATGCCCTCACTCACCCCAGTGCCTTTGTACTTGCTGTTCCTACTGCCTGAAATCCCAGGCAGCTGCCTGGGTTACTCTCTCACCACCTTCAGATCTTTGCTAATATATTACCTTTCCAGGGACGCCTTCCTAGAGCACCCTATTTAATATTGCAGCCATACCTCCATTTGTCCCTGTGCTCTATGTTGCTCATATTACATTTCTCTGCAGTACTTTTATAGTATATGACGTACTATGCATTTTATCTATTTGTTTCTATATATACAAGTTCCAAGAGAATAAGAGTGTTCATCTGTTTTATTCACTACTATATCCTGAGTGCCTAGATTTATTTCTGGCAAATAATCTGTATTTCATAAGTATTTAATAAATAAATGAATGGATGTTCTAATGATCAGCACAGTGCTATAAGATAGATCAAGCACCAGTTTTGGGGCCAGGCCTGGTATCGGATGCAGGCTTCACCACTTATCAGTTGCGTGACTTTGGGCAACTTACTTGCCTTATGTGCAATATGGGGACCCTGCTACCAAGGATAGTGCCTGAAACACAGATGGTAATGTAGCTATTATCATCAACATCATCACCACAGTTGTCATTGTACCATCACCATAACCATGACCATCATCATAACCATCCTCATTTCCATCATCACCATTGTCACATCATCACCATCTTCATCATTGTCCTCAACCACATTGCCATTTCCATCATTGTGATCACCATCATCATATAACCTACTCCCAGGACAAACTCTTGCCACCTCTGCCTTAGAGACAAGTATCAAATGACCCTTATCTTGGCCTTTCCCCAGAAAGGGGAGCCAGTCCTTCTCTTCTTGACTCATTCCAGTTAATTGATTTATTTATTTTTAATTTTTTTTTTTACTTTTTTTATTGTTAGGGATTCATTGAGGATACAAAGAACCAGGTTACAGTGATTGCATTTCTTAGGTACAGTCACTTTTGTAATTGTGATCCATCCCCAAGAGGTGTATCACACCCTGTGACCTCCCCCCACCCCACCATTTAAGTTAATTTAGATGGAGAAAATTATGGGTCAAAGGAAATATCTTTAATTCAATCATTTATTCATCCATTTGACATGCATGCAGGCCTGCCATGTTCCACCCACAATGTGGGATGTTTGGAGCCCACTCCAATGGGGTCGTGGAAACATGGAGTGAATAGAAACATAATGATGATAGTTTCTTCCTGTGGAGCGCCCAGTAGGGCTAGGGACTGCACATTTGAGCCCAGTTTCATTCACCGTAACAACCTGCAAGGGAAGAATTATCAACCTTGTTTTGCAGATGAGGACACTAGTGAGGATAATGATAGCTGCAGTCAATATCTTCTTAAGCTCTTATTATGCACCAGTCGGTATGTTAAGTACATTATCACGATCCCTCAAATAATCCTAGATACTATATTATGCTATGCTACTAAGTTCCTCATGTTGCAGCCATGTAAAGTGAGGTTCTGAGTGCTCAAAGTCACTGGCCCAAGATCACTGAGCTGGTAAGTGGCAGAGCCTGGCCTTTGAATGTAAGACTGGGACTCTCTGAAGCTGACCTTATTCCACTATGCTACACTGGTTGGACTAGAAGTAAAAGGGAGGCTCTAAAGGGTTTTGGTTAGAAGACAGCAAACAGAGGGGAGAAAGTGCTATCCCAGAAAAACAGCTTGGAAGTGGGTGGAAACAAAGAAGGAAAGGTCCCCTCCCCTCCCGGTTCTGCCCATCCCTGGAACTTCATTGCTGCCTGGCTCCTTGAACCCAGCTCCTGGTCAGACTTGGCATGTCCTAGAAGCAGGCCCTGGGGACTGGCATGGAGCCAGCCATTTTCCAGAGTGGCTCTAAAGGCAGGATTCTGAATTCAGTGTTCACACCTGCTGTCTCTCTCCAAATTCTTCCACGTGGAAGGAGGCATATTGTGAGGTCTGTGGTGCCCACTTGTGCTGTGTGACCTTGTGTGAATCACTTGGCCTTTCTGAGCTTCTATTTTCTCAGCTACCAAATAGAGAGGGATGAATAGTCTCCACCACCCTGGGTTCAAGGATCAGATGACTTAACATTTAAAGAAGTAGGCAGTCCAGCGCCGGCACCCAGTGAGTGATTACTATGTGAAACTTGCCATGAAGGTTTTCTACTTTCTATCACAAGGCACAGCTGTGTGTCAGGAAGAAGAAGCCTGTTCTGTCTCCCAAAATGTCTGCTCATGCAAAAACCAACAGTCTGAAGAACAAAAGTGGGCATTCAAAACTCAGACAGCAAAAGTGATGGTCTTAAAAACCCTGCCTTGAGAGCTTGCTCATAACTGCCAGCTTTTACAGCTCTCTGGTTGTGTTTCAGGGACTCAATACATCATATTTGGTCTTCACAATAATCTAGTGTGGTCATTATTTATGTTCATGCCCATTTTACAGAGAAGAAAACAGTCTTAGAATGGTAAAGACACATGAGGATAAAGCCTGAACCCTTAACTTTGGTGGGACAGAAGAGTCACGTAAAATCCAAGATTAAAGTGAAGCAAAGTATCTTGCAATCTGCTTAACCTACCTGGTGTATTCTTATCAGGAAATTGGGGATGATGGTACATATAGCATATATCTTTTAAAAATAGCAATATGTATTGTCATGTGTTTAGCCATATATACAACTCTTTAGGCAAGAAGGCCAGCCTCGCCCAACTTAACCCCACCACCAAGCGAGAGGACACTCACAGAAAAGGACCATGAGGAATCGGGTCTCATTCAACATCTGGGTGAGGCCGGCAGGTGTCAGCACCAGCAGGTTGTGTTCCTCCACGATGTGCACGGGCTTGGTTATGTTGACGGGGGTGCTGGTGTCCTCCACTGAGCTATAGACAGCGACAACACAAGAGCCCACTAGCAGCAGGGGCATCCAGAGTAACTCCATGGCTGTCCTGCAGGGGCGGGAGGAGGAACAGAGCCCTTAAATCAACACAGGTGGCAGCCCCACGTCATCACACTCCCCCTTCCTTGTCCAGCTAGTTGTGTGGGGAGAAAGTGCCCTGAGCACTGCCCAGTGCCTCCCAGCAGTGCCCACAGCCTGGCAGCAGCACTGGATAAGAAGCAAAGTATTATTAGGTCGGCCTCAGACCCTGTGGTGAGTGTGTGGGGAAGGTTCAGAGCATCAGGGCCCCATTTGGAGAATCAGGACCCCAAAGCAGGCAGAGGCCACTGGAGCCCACTGGCTTCCCAGCCACTAGGTGAGGTGAGACCTTTGCAGAGAGAGGGTCCCATTACAGAATACTATGGGTGAGCCTCTGGATCTCAGAGATGACTGGTCCAATTCCTCATCATAGCCTCTCAGGAATCTGTCAGCAAGGCCCCTGCTGCAGCTCCTGCAGACTCAACTTGAATGCTCCTGTGATGGGAAGTTCATTATCTTGCAGGCTATCCCATTTGAGTTTTGAACAAAAAATTTCTCAAGTGTAAATATTTTCCTTTAAAAGTCATAACTACAATACACACTTGCAAAAGTTCCAAACAATACAATAAAAATATGCCAATCAGAAGAAATCTCAACCATAGTCCCACTGCTGAGGAAGCTACTGTTAGCAGTTTAGAATGAATCCTTCACAAATGCTGGACACGCCTATATGAACATACCTTTAAATGTATATTTTTAAACATAAATGGAATAAGACTATGTGTATGATTTGGTGCTTGGTTAGTTCTTTTTAACCCTGGATACATATTAAATTCTCCTGGGGAGATTTTAGGACAATTCTAACACTGACTTTCACTTCAGACCAAATTATTCAGAATTGCCCAGGATGGGGTCCAGATATCTATTTATTGCAAAAGTTTCCTGATGATTATCTTGTTGTATTTTATCTTTCTATTTGGGAAATTTTAGACATAAACAGAAATAGTAAGATGGTATAATGTAACCCCCTGCAAGGTACCTATCACCTAACTTCAGTTATCATCATGATCAATCTTATTCCATTTATATTCTCACTGGCTCTCTGCCCTGGATTATTTTGAATCCAGTTCCAGGAATCACATCATTTTACCCATAAATATTTCATTATGAATCCTGTAGAAGATAGTGATTTTTAAAAATAACACATTACCATTATTATACTAATGAAATGAACAATAATGTCTTCACATCATCAAATATCCAGACAGTGTGCAAATTACCCAGACTGTCTCATGAATTTTAAGTTTGTTTAAATTGAAATCCAAATGAGACCCATGTATTATAACTGATTGTTGTGTTTTCCAAGCCTCTCCCAGGTAATTCTGTTACTCAGTTTGCAGCTTGATTGTCAAATGAAATCAATAAAGGCAAGTTGAGGTAAGGATGAAGGGAAGGTGGATGGGCTGTTTTTCTGGAAAGCTGAGTGATGCAAATATGTGTCTCAGGCAAAGGTCTCATTACTGCCAGCCCAGCCTTAAGGGTCCCTAATGATCCACAATGTCCCAGGACTCACCACTTGTCATCCCTGGCTGAATCTGGTACAGTATGATGACTATTCGATGGAACTTTTGTTTTTAAAACTAATTTACTTGTTTGCTTATTTGTTCTTTGATTCATTTACATGCAAGAACAATAACCATCTAAAAGTGGTTTGCCTATTTGGAGATGAAGGAGCTAAGGAAATTTCACCCCAAAATATGATTCCTTGGTGTAAAGAATATTTTAAATTAAAAGTCCATTTTGATCAGAAAGTACTGGCCTCTCCTCTATAAAAACTGAGTAACCTGATTTGGAATCAGAAAAGGCTGCTGACTTCCTTATTGCATACAAATAGACCTGGCCTTCAGGTCATTTGAAGCACAAGAACTGTCTCTCTCAGATTAATTTACAGTTCAATCTGTTTCCACCCATCCCCCCTTGCATACTTTCCCTACTCTCCCCCTTTTCTTCTAAAAGGCATCCTTATAACTCACTGACTATCACTGAAACTTTGGGAAATCATTCTTGTGATTACCCCCATGTACGTGGTTTTGGAAATAAACCTTTCTCTTATTAATCTACCATAATTGTGAGTTGATCTTTCAGCAAACCAGATAAAGGGAAAAGAGTAAGTTTCATGTATTCAGCAGGATCTCAAAGCCAGTCTGTTCTCCCAAAAGCCACAGCAGGAGGATTGGAACCCCAACACCAGCTGGCACATGGTGAGATATTTTACTTACCAGTTGGGCTCCTGGTCTTCCTTTCTGGGGGCTTCAGTTGGAGGACAGTAAAAGGACAATAAAAGATCTTTGTCAATATTTAAGATTGACGAGATGAACGTTTTTTTGTTGATGACTAGTCTGTAAGCCACTCTGCTATTGGTATATTTTTAGGTACTTCGTGGTGTATGAATATTCATATTGTTTGATTACATCTCTTCTCAGAAATAGCTTTTATTGTTATTGTTATTATTGCTTGTTTTTTTTGTTTTGTTTTGTTTTGTTTTGTTGTTTGTCTTTCTGTGTTATTTTGTCTAAAGAAGGTTACCATAGGGCAGAACTCAGGCCTAGTGCCCTCACCAGCATAATGTTCAAACCAGCCCCACCTACTAGCAATTATACAGTGTCTGTTGCTCTGGTGTCTTTTAAGATGAACTTTGTAGCCGGTCTCTGAAACAAAAACTGTATGAGGTTTCCCTTTCCTCTTGTTTTGCATGTCTGAGCTTGACTTTGTGACTGAGTGGGAATTCTCTTCTCAGTCTCCACCCTCTGGAGGGCATGTTTTGTCAGTAACAAGTCAAGTGGTTAGTCTGGAAAGACTAGGACTCTGGGACATGTTAGATTCTAAGTAGCACACTTTGTGTACCAAACGTGTCAAGCTCTGAGGAGTAGTCTTTCGTCACTGTCTATTTTAACATAAGTCTATTTCTTAGAGTGAATTTTAGGGTATCTTGTGAATAACCTTTTCTATAAAGAGCCATTGGGCCTTATAAAGAGGCATTGGATTAAGTTGCTTTTAGAACAAATATACCATAGAAAATTCTAATTATAAGTGGCCAAAAGATGGATCCTTTGAACTAAAAAAATAAAAAAATCCTTAATTTAAAGAAAAATTTGGAGAGCTCACATCTTAAACAACTGTCTTATTTATATTTATGAGAAGATCAAATTGAAAGAAAAATAAACATCAGTGTTGTGGCTAGCCTTAAAAACTCCCCTAAGAAAAGCTGATGAGCAGAAATCAGAATTAGAACAAAAGTTAAGATGTCTCCACTTTAGACTGCCTTCCAACTTATACTCCTCTCTATTCTCAGTTACCTGTCTCTGATCCCCAGACTCTTTTAGACAATAGGCAGGGCCCCAGCCCTGCCCCACTTCACAAGTCAAAACAATGGTTTGAGTGGCCCCTATCTGTATCCCTATTTTTACCCCATCTGTAGCCCTATTTTACCCTATATGTAACATGTTTGTGGTTTGAGGTAAAGAAATAAGAAACACACAGGAAGCCCACCTTGTTGGAAATTATGCTAAAGTGTTTTTAAAAAAGATTTTCATGACACTATGTGCTAACTTTATCTCTGGGAAGATTGAAAACTTTGTGTGAATAGGAATAACTCAAATGCATTATTGTTCAGGTGATTGTGGTATTCCTTGAGATAAAATTAGTTTTATACCTGTTATTAAAGTTCAGGTGTCTAAGAATTATAAAACTAGATTTCTAAATTTACTAAATTAAACCGTAAACTTATGTTCTTGATTTGGAACCTCTGAATTCTGAGGTCTAGAAAGGTCTGAGGTCTATAGTGAGGCCCAAGAGACATACTCCCCATACTTAGGCCAGTGACTACAAGGCACAGTCTAGGTCACATGGCTCCTTCTTCCCTGCTCCAACTTTGCTCCCTGGCTATTCTAAGAGGAACTAGATGCTCCAGTTTCATGCTTTCTGTCTTAAACTTTTCACCTGGTAAAGAACACAGGTCCTGTCTTTTGCAGCCATCTTTCATGCCAGGTGGCCATGTGAAACTTAGGGAGGCAATGAAAAAACATTAGAAATGATGAATATAATGTGGTTTCAGAACTTTTTTTTTAGTAACTTAAGCACTTAATGTCATGTTGTTACTAGAATTTCTTCTTTGGTGGGTCTTTGGTCTTGGAGATTTGAGAAGAGAGTCCATGGCCACAGATCGGGGATTAAATGAGATTTTGTTGAACAGAGAGGCATGCAGAGAGAGTGGAGAGCACCAGAGCTTCTGGAAGGGAAGCAGAGACCCAAGTCAGAGATGTCCTGTATGGATCCTTTATCTAGGCATAAATGTTGGCCCTCAGGGAAATTTTGGCCAGGACTTGATAGGTGGGAAAACACCTTTGCAAGCTTAATGAATGTTTTAACAAATGAATAAATGCAGTTCCTCCCCAGAGCAAGATTGTTAGGTCTTTGCAGTTTTTTCTCAGAGAAAGGATTGAAGTGTGTGCTCCCTACACAAAGTAGAACTGCCCAGGGATTTTTCAGGCTGCTTTGTTCATGCCCTTGCTGGACCCCAGAGGGTATGGCCTGCAGGATGCAGCCTGTTTGTGCCTAGATACGGTGGTCTGATTTCTGAGCTCACTTGAGTAAAAAAAAAAAAAAAAAAAAAAGGGGGAGGGGTGTCCCTGTGCAGCCCTGAGTGGGGAAAAAAATTGTATCAATTCTATAGTCCACAAAATGTCTCTCCTTTGTAAAATATAATAATTTTATCATTTAAATGATTTAAGAAACGGAATCTTTGTCAAAAAATAAGATTCTTACCTTTCAAGCCTTCTAATTATCAGTTTAGCCAAGTGAATAATTAACTTCAAAGAAATCTGTGATCCCATTTTGTGAAAAGTGTTTTTTTTTTTTTTTTTAAGAGTAAGAAATATTAGACAGGAAAATGGCATTGTGTAAGAAAGGATTTTGTGTGGTAAATTTTGTCCTGAAACAGAATGGTTATTTAAAAAAATGAAAGG